CGGGCTGACGTCACTACTGCCGAGCGTGAGAAGGGGGGGGGGAGAAGTAGAGAGGAGGAGGTGAGGGCGTGACGTCACTGCCAGGAAACTCGTGCTGCTTGTAAACAGGGGGAGGCTGGAAGGAAGGAGGGAGAGGAGACTGAGGGGAATGGAATAACGACAGCATAGGGAGGGAGGGGGGAAGGATAGAGACAGACATGAGGAGGGCACAGAGGGGGGGATAAGGGTGAGAAATGGGGGTGAAAACGAGGACAACATGGTGAGACTGTCAGAACCTGACAGGAGGAGGGAGAAATAATCGCTCATTCACACCTGAGCGTTTAGTCGTGCGTTTTCCAAAGCGCGTTGACACATTTAACGGCGCCAGTTCACTCCCTTGGAGCTTAAAAACGTACATGAGGTTTTATGCGATGGGAGACTGAGGAGCCTACAGAATTGGGGCAGGGTGTATAGGGTTAAAGAGGAGGATACATGGAGAATGATGAGCCTATAGAATCGGGGCAGGGTGTATAGGGGTAAAGAGGAGGATACATGGAGGCTGAGGTGCCTATAGAATCGGGGCAGGGTGTATGGGTGTAAAGAGGAGGCTGAGGTGCCTATAGAATTGGGGCAGGGTGTATGGGGGTAAAGAGGAGGATACATGGAGACTGAGGTGCCTATAGAATCTGGGCAGGGTGTATGGGGGTAAAGAGGCGGATACATGGAGGCTGAGGCGCCTATAGAATCGGGGCAGGGTGTATGGGGGGAAAGAGGCGGATACATGGAGGCTGAGGCGCCTATAGAATCGGGGCAGGGTGTATGGGGGGAAAGAGGCGGATACATGGAGGCTGAGGCGCCTATAGAATCGGGGCAGGGTGTATGGGGGGAAAGAGGCGGATACATGGAGGCTGAGGCGCCTATAGAATCGGGGCAGGGTGTATGGGGGGAAAGAGGCGGATACATGGAGGCTGAGGCGCCTATAGAATCGGGGCAGGGTGTATGGGGGGAAAGAGGCGGATACATGGAGGCTGAGGCGCCTATAGAATCGGGGCAGGGTGTATGGGGGGAAAGAGGCGGATACATGGAGGCTGAGGCGCCTATAGAATCGGGGCAGGGTGTATGGGGGGAAAGAGGCGGATACATGGAGGCTGAGGCGCCTATAGAATCGGGGCAGGGTGTATGGGGGGAAAGAGGCGGATACATGGAGGCTGAGGCGCCTATAGAATCGGGGCAGGGTGTATGGGGGGAAAGAGGCGGATACATGGAGGCTGAGGCGCCTATAGAATCGGGGCAGGGTGTATGGGGGGAAAGAGGCGGATACATGGAGGCTGAGGCGCCTATAGAATCGGGGCAGGGTGTATGGGGGGAAAGAGGCGGATACATGGAGGCTGAGGCGCCTATAGAATCGGGGCAGGGTGTATGGGGGGAAAGAGGCGGATACATGGAGGCTGAGGCGCCTATAGAATCGGGGCAGGGTGTATGGGGGGAAAGAGGCGGATACATGGAGGCTGAGGCGCCTATAGAATCGGGGCAGGGTGTATGGGGGGAAAGAGGCGGATACATGGAGGCTGAGGCGCCTATAGAATCGGGGCAGGGTGTATGGGGGGAAAGAGGCGGATACATGGAGGCTGAGGCGCCTATAGAATCGGGGCAGGGTGTATGGGGGGAAAGAGGCGGATACATGGAGGCTGAGGCGCCTATAGAATCGGGGCAGGGTGTATGGGGGGAAAGAGGCGGATACATGGAGGCTGAGGCGCCTATAGAATCGGGGCAGGGTGTATGGGGGGAAAGAGGCGGATACATGGAGGCTGAGGCGCCTATAGAATCGGGGCAGGGTGTATGGGGGGAAAGAGGCGGATACATGGAGGCTGAGGCGCCTATAGAATCGGGGCAGGGTGTATGGGGGGAAAGAGGCGGATACATGGAGGCTGAGGCGCCTATAGAATCGGGGCAGGGTGTATGGGGGGAAAGAGGCGGATACATGGAGGCTGAGGCGCCTATAGAATCGGGGCAGGGTGTATGGGGGGAAAGAGGCGGATACATGGAGGCTGAGGCGCCTATAGAATCGGGGCAGGGTGTATGGGGGGAAAGAGGCGGATACATGGAGGCTGAGGCGCCTATAGAATCGGGGCAGGGTGTATGGGGGGAAAGAGGCGGATACATGGAGGCTGAGGCGCCTATAGAATCGGGGCAGGGTGTATGGGGGGAAAGAGGCGGATACATGGAGGCTGAGGCGCCTATAGAATCGGGGCAGGGTGTATGGGGGGAAAGAGGCGGATACATGGAGGCTGAGGCGCCTATAGAATCGGGGCAGGGTGTATGGGGGGAAAGAGGCGGATACATGGAGGCTGAGGCGCCTATAGAATCGGGGCAGGGTGTATGGGGGGAAAGAGGCGGATACATGGAGGCTGAGGCGCCTATAGAATCGGGGCAGGGTGTATGGGGGGAAAGAGGCGGATACATGGAGGCTGAGGCGCCTATAGAATCGGGGCAGGGTGTATGGGGGGAAAGAGGCGGATACATGGAGGCTGAGGCGCCTATAGAATCGGGGCAGGGTGTATGGGGGGAAAGAGGCGGATACATGGAGGCTGAGGCGCCTATAGAATCGGGGCAGGGTGTATGGGGGGAAAGAGGCGGATACATGGAGGCTGAGGCGCCTATAGAATCGGGGCAGGGTGTATGGGGGGAAAGAGGCGGATACATGGAGGCTGAGGCGCCTATAGAATCGGGGCAGGGTGTATGGGGGTAAAGAGGAGGATACATGGAGGCTGAGGTACCTATAGAATTGGGGCAGGGGGTAAAGAGGAGGATACATGGAGAATAAGGAGCCTATAGAATCGGGGCAGGGTGTATGGGGCATAGAGGAGGATACATGGAGGCTGAGGTGCCCATAGAATCGGGGCAGGGTGTATGGGGGTAAAGAGGAGGATACATGGAGACTGAGGTGCCTATAGAATCGGGGCAGGGGGTATGGGGGTAAAGAGGAGGATACATGGAGACTGAGGTGCCCATAGAATTGGGGCATGGTGTATAGGGGTAAAGAGGAGGATAC